TGAGATAGGTACGTGTATATGTATTTTATATATAAAGAAGCCTCTACATGTGTAGAAGGCAACTCCACAGCATTTTTATTTTGTCTTCAGAAAGCTCTTCTATAGGAATGCAAAGAGGGACAAGATTAGTGTAAAATCAGTGGGGCGGGGCGATTCACTGTATTTTTCCTTGTCCTATAAAAACAGCATTATGAAAGATAAACATTTGAAAATACACTGGCATTAGTTGACACAGGTGAAAATAACAGCACAGAAAGACAGACTTGTACTCCTTTGGAGTGTTATAGCTTAAGTATAATGGTACATATTATTTTTATAATCTTCTGCAAATGAATCCATAAACTTTGCTAATTCTTCACTGTTATCCTGTTGCACCGACACAATACTCCTGAAGTCTTAACAGAAGCATCTTGAGCACTAGCTCAACAGTACAAATACACAATATATACAACAAGCACAATTCTGAGTTGCTTTTTAATTGTGCCTGAAGACCTTCCAATTTAAACTTGGTATTTTAAAGTGTCTTTATGCCTGCTACTGAGGTGTCCATATGTAAAAGCCAATTCAATATCCATGGAAACCAGTGCAGATATCGTCTAAATTGACTCTCTTGGATGGATGTTTATTAGAATATATTAATAATTGATCATTTTACAACTATTCAGAATTTCCTCAAGGTAAAAATTTTTAAATATCATGTAAGTAATCATCCTGTAGATGTTACTCAAATGTTACTGTTTTCTTTACCTCAGATGACACTTTTTTTGCAAGAAAATCAGGAAAATATTAGAGTTCCTTCAGTTCACCATAAATGAAGTGCAAGAGGAGAGAAGTCAAGAGAAAAATCTGTTATGTATATAACAAATTATGTTATGTATACTAACAAATTCAAGCTGAAGATAGCGTGGTTTCAAACTCCTCCCTTTCTATTCCTCCTTCCCACCCAAACTCCCCTCCAATAATTGCATAAGTTAGTACAATTGAAAAGACCAAATTGGAGTCAAGTCCAATGGGACAGAAAAAATCATTATGTCTGATCTGTCAGACTGAGGTGAGACAAGGAAAAAGAGAACTTATCAATGAAAGAAACTAGCTAAATAGCTTAATAAACTCCAGTGCTGAGAAACTTAGAAGAGGAGGAATCATGTGCCTACTGCTAATACCTCAAACTTACTTATGAATTGCCTCAACAGTGGTTCAACAGCCGCTCCTCAGGGCATCCTGCCTTCGGCTCTCCCTCCCAGCACGCAGGACCAGCAGGATGATGATTCACCAGCTGCTGATGCCCAAATGCAGCAAGGCCACAGCTGCTCGACTCCCCCATCTCCCCCAACACGAGGGCCGCAGGAATGTTTCTCATCTGCTGCTTCCCACCTGGAGACTCATCCCTTGAGAAGCTCAGCGTCCTCTCCCGCCCTGGACTGCGGACAGGATCTCAGGAATTCACACAAGGAGTAACAGAAGGTATTTGACAGCACTTCAAGCTGCCTGTGGAGATTAAGAAACAGTATAAACAGGCAGAAATGATATGTAATGGGCCTGGCATCAGTGGTTAAAGTTACTGCAAGCAGAACAGAAGTCAGGGACCATTTTCTCAAATCCCATGGCATTAAAATAATAATAAAAAAGGAAGGTATATGAAATTCTTTGGCTTTAAGGTATTATTAATATTTGCACGTTATGCTATAATTCAAAAAATATGAACTTGTCCTGAAGAACGTGAGAAGAGTTCCCCTTAGTTAGATAAACAGCACAGTATTTGCAATAATATCAAAATAAAGTATAAAAGGAACTTTAGTGCCCATGCATTCACCATGTTAGCTGATGGAAAAGCGAGATCCAAGAAAGCTATTGCATATTACTACAAAGAAAGTTACAGTTGGAAAGCAGGGAAACACGAGCAGTGAAGGAAGATGTAGCTCCCCAAGATGTGTGTGAGGAAGAAACAGCTCAGTTTTAAGCTCTAAAACTGGAAAAGGCCAGGAAGGAAGCCGCGGTGCCTCTTAGTTTATGGAAAGGTGCTCAAGGCACCGAAATGGCCTGTTCGGCTGGGGCGGCCAGGGCCCCTCTCTTTTTGCTGCAGTTTGGCAGCTCCCACTGCCTCTTCCTTCCTGCACGTCAGCTCCAGAGCCTGAGAGAGCTCGAGCCCGCCGGCGAGTCAGTCCTCAGCCACTCGAAAGGGCAGAGTGGCCAGAAAGGATCGAGATGGCGGCTCCTACTGCCTGTGCCTAGGGTTTGGCATGCTGCTTTTTGGGTCTGGTAGGTAGGGTGGCCTGGGGGAGGCTGTACAAGAAATCCCACAGGAACGTGGCAGCTCCTCCAGAGACCTCACAGCACTGGCCTCAGCAGGGCAACGGGCAACCCTGAGACTGCTTGGAAAGCGGGGACGGGTCCATTTTCCCCACTATGGCTTCTAAGTTTATTTTTGACTGGTTCTAGGTTTACACTGTGCCAGCAGGATGGGAAGTAGAGACCATAACTTTCAAGTGGGGTATATTTCCTCCAGAAAAGAATACTAACAACAGTTAAATATATTTTGTACTTGGCATACAAGGAAATAATGAATGAAGATGGAAAAAAAAAATGAAGGAATTTAGCTTGATTTGAGGAGAGATATATCTGAATTAGGAATAAATTAGAAGTAGTATTGGGGTGAAGGACAAGGTTAGCAGCTGGATGCCTGGTGAGAGAGATGCTACAAGCCTTCGTTTTACTGGAACAATAATAAAGTGCACTGTAGGGAAGACTTTTGCATGGGCAGGGATATGGATCTATTGGCCTTTTTTGTCTCTCGTGTCTTGTAGATAGGATTAAGATGAAAGCAGATATGAAAACACGACAAATTCTATCTTACGTTGTTCGCTATCATCCATCAAATGTAACAGAAAGATGTATGCCATTATGTATATTTTGTAATGCACCTCTATGTATAGCGTACATAAATGTATATAATCTGTATTTTTGAAGCAACTTTTTATCAAATAAAATGAAACACATAATGTCTTAGTTCTTCTCTCTTGGGCCTTTTCTTTAATCAGTCACTGTTTTACACCCTGGCGTGTAAGGTTGCTTTTCTTTCTCATTTGCTCTTTTTTTCTGCTTCTGAAAAGAGCTCCTATAAAACTCTCAACTTTTAACTGGGGAGCTGAGGTCCTGCCAGCTGACAGAGCAGAGCTGCGGTGTCCGTGACCCTGGTGTCACGGAGCAATTCAGCCCTGGAGCTCAGAGCCCCTGGGCGGGAGCTGGGACACGGAGCTGAGTGCTGCTCCCTCCGCCTCTGGGCCAGCACCGAAGATCCTGGTGCACTAGGTGCTTTTCTGTTAACAGAAAAGCCATGGTCCTTCTAGAATACGAAGAAGATAAAAAGCGGTTTTCCAAAAGATCCTGATAACTCTCTGTGAATGCAAAACTCAAGACTAAATAATTACAGACAAGACACTACAGAAGTAACAAGGGAAGGGAGGGAAGAACAGAAAAGTTTAACACTGGTTCTCCCAAGATTTGCCCAAGAATCAGAATTGGTGACATGTAAATATGTTGTGTCACCAAGTGTAAAATCCATCTGTTCTCGATTGATAGAGGATGTGTTACTGGCATTACTCAGAATCAGCGTAGGCTGACAGCTCTCTGGAGGTGAACCTAAGAACCTAAATAACTCTACAGTATTTAATAACCAGTTCAGTACTGAAAAGCAAGTAATTAGCATTGAAAACAATCATTTGAACAACCCATTTCTAGTACTGTATTTTAGATTAAATTTGAAAATTGTCTTGCAAAAAAAGGAATGTGGCCATTTCTTATTATGAATAGGTTAGTGAGAATATTTATATATAGAATATAGCAAGAATA